AGATAAATATAGCTATTCAGGCTTCAAGGCTAGGAAGAGAAGAAAGACACCCAGTACTTAAGTATCCTCCCCACCCCAAACCAAAGTGAAAGTTGCTCAGTGTATCCAACTCTGTGCAACCCCATGGACTAGTCCATGGAATTCTCTGGGCCAGAATACTGGAGTGGGTAGCCTTTCCCTTCCCCAGGGGATCTTCCCAACCCAGGGATCAAACCCAGGTCTCCTGCATTGAAGGATCCTTTACCAGCTGAGCCACAAGGGAAGCCAAGAATACTGGAGCGGGTAGCCTATCCCTTCTCCAGCGGATCTTCTTGACCCAGGTATCCAACTAGGGTCTCCTGCATTACAGTCGGATTCTGTCGCAACTGAGCTATCAGGGAAGCCCCCCAAATCAATGCATCAATCAAATACAGTACTTTTAACTCATTTGGAAAGGGTCTTATAGTGAGAAATCTGTTCAGTTTATGATGATCCCATGGTAGTCCAAATATTATAACACCCAAATCAATGAAGAAAATGTATGAAGAATTCAAATGAGTATATGAGAAGGTAGAAAAGTGATAGACAGATTCTGGGTGTGTGGAATGCAAGGTAATGCCTAGGGAGGAGAAAATACCTCAAATTTACTTTAAACCTGGTAGGCTCTGAAAACTCAATACAACAGAGCAAGAAGACGTAGGAGTCTTTACAGAATGTTTCTTCAGATCATCTACCAATTGTGCAACTTCAGGCACAAAGACCAAAAAACAATGAACTTCATTAAGGACTGGAAATGGGACAGAAAACATTATTTTGCCCTCAGCAAAAAAAAATGGCTTACTAAAACTAAAGTACTGCATAATCGCTTCTCGGCCTTTTGGCTAAGATCAAGTGTAAAGTACTGCATATAGTTCTAAACAATGTAGGGTATACTGATTAAGAGAACTGAGTCGGGTTCAAATCCAACCTGCTACTCAGTTCTTTCATTTGTAAAGAGGGAGCAGGAACACCTATATCTGAGTTGCTTTACAGTTAACTGAAAAACATGTTAAAAGTTTTTAGCATAGTACCTGACACATGCAGGAGACATACAAGACTTGGGTTCGATCCCTGGGTTGGGAAGATCCCCTGGAGGAGGGCATGGCAACCCACTCCAGTATTTTTGCTTAGAGAATCCCCATGGACAGAGGAGCCTGACAGGCTACAGTCTAAAGGGTGCAAAGAGTTGGACACAACTGAGCACAGTCAAAACTATGGTTTTTCTAGTACTTAAGCATGGATGTGAGAGTTGGACCATAAAGATGGCTGAGAACCAAAGAATTGATACTTTCCAATTGTGGTGTTAGAGAAGACTCCTGAGAGTCCCTTGGACCGCAAGAGATCAAACCAGCCAATCCTAAAGGAAATCAACACTGAGTGTTTACTGGAAGGACTGATACTGAAGCTCTAATACTTTGGCCATGAGATGCAAACAGCCAACTCACTGGAAAAGACCCTGATGCTGGAGAAGACTGAAGGCAGAAGGAGAATGGGCAGCGGAGGATGAGATGGCCTGACAGCATCACTGACTCAGTGAACATGAATTTAAGCCAATTCAAGGAGACGGATGCTTCTGAGCTGGGGTGTTGAAGCAAACTCTTGAGAGTCCCTTGGACTGCAAGGAGATCAAACCAGTCAATCCTAAAGGAAATCAGTCCTGAATATTCAGGACTGATGCTGAAGCTGAAGCTCCAATATCTTGGCCACCTGATGCAAAGAGCTGACTCATCAGAAAATACCCTGATGTTGGGAACGACTGAAAGCAGAAGGGGATGACAAAGGATGAAAGGACTGGATGGAATCACTGACTCAATGGACAAAACTTTGAGCAGGCTCCAGAAAATGGTGAAGGACAGGGAAGCCTGGCATGCTGCAGTCCATGGGGTCGCAGAGAGCTGGACACGACTTAGTGATTGAACAAAAAGTATAACATGGCTGTTCCCTGGTCCAAACATCAAGAAGTATTGAAGTAGGAGAATCAAGGTACAGCCCTACAAAAGGAGACTGAAAATTAGGGTTCTGCCATAAAAAGAACTGGTTTAAAAGAGACAGTACAGGGCTTCGCTGGTGACTGACTGGTAAAGAACCCATGCGCCAATGCAGGAGACACAGGCTCGGTCCTCCGTCTGGGAAGGCCCCACATGCAGGAGAGCACCTAAGCCTGAGAACCACGACTACTGAGCCTGAGGTCTAGAGCCTGGGGGCCGCAGCCACTGAGCCCAACTGCAGCAACTGCTTGAGGCCCACATGCCCTAGAGCCTGTGTTTCATGAGAGACGCCACCGTAATGAGAAGCCACTGCAATGAAGAGCAGCCCCACTCACCAGAACTAGAGAAAAGCCCAAGCAGCAATGAAGACCCAGCACAGGCAATAAACAAATAAATAAAATTATATATAAGAAGAGACAGTACATTCAACAGTAATACACATATGTTCAAGTTTATTCATTCAACCATCACATTGAGCACCTGCTTGGCAGTGAAAAGGACAGATGAGGTCCTCATTTTCCCAGAGTTTAATTTCTAGGATAGGAGACAGAATAGAAAAACAAAGGAAATTCCAGATAGTGATGTTATAAAGAAAATGAGAGAATGGTGAGATCATTGTGGGAGCAATCTCCTTGAAGAGACAATAGCTGAACTGAGACCTGAATGACATGATGGAATCAGCTACAGGAAGATCTGGGAGAAGATTGAAGCCACCAAGAGCAAGTGCAAATGCCCTGAGGCAAGAACCAACCTGGCAAGTCCCTAGGACAATGCTAGTGCGGCTGGAACACAGGAAGAAACTGCTGTGGCCGGACTCCTGGGTACTGACCGAGGCATCTGGATACAAGCTGAGACAGAGGAAGGCCGTGCCCAGACCTCTGCTGCTTGGCAAACCTTGAGAAAGAGGTTGGATTTCATTCTGAATGTGATGAGACTTTCAACAAAGGGGTGACACGATCTGCCATTTTAAAGGATCCCTCAGGCTGTGGGAAAGCGGATGCACCAAGCCGAAGTGGAAGCAGGGAGACCAGAGGTTTCTGCAGTAGGCCAGGTGAGAGGCGGTTAAGAGCTGCTACCAGTAGAGATGGGAAGAGGTGGGCAAATCTAGAATACATATTGAACATGACCATTTAAGGCAAATGTAGGTAAGTTTATGACTAAGGGACCCAAGTGAGTTATTAGTATATTTAGGATACTCTTTAGTAAGTACTTATCCTTTGAAGCTGAGGTGCAGGGAACCTTGCTTCTCTTTTGGCACCACTGATAATGCACTGGACTAAACAGGCACACATCCAAGACTCAGTGTTCATAAAGCATATTAAGTGTATAAAGTAAAATCTTTTAGGACCTTAGTGCCGGAGGCCTGGACAGCTGGTCAACATTTGGGACATACAGGAGCTATGGAACAGAACTAAACCCTTACCTAAATCAAATCACTAAATAATCACAAATTATTTCATATAAACAAAAACATTTACGTATAGATTAGCTTAAAAAGTAAAAAAAGAGAAAGAACTTCAAGAAAACATAATTTCATTTGTTTCGATCAGCAGCATTCCAACTGTGATATTAAGAAAAAAAGATCTCGATTGCACACGCTGAAGGAAGAAATTTGCTAGGAAGAGGTCCATTTTACACCACACAAGGACATAATATACCCTTCAAGGGAGTAGCCTAAATTCCCAAGACTTCCTGGATTTGATAAATGACAATCAATTTAATACATAGCTCTTTCTTTCTTGCCGTTTGCTAAAGAAACACCTCAATTAATGAATTCTCTGGAGGGAAAAAAAAAAAACTTTAGAAAAACTAAGGACAAAACAGAGGGTTGGTCTTCTGGTCTCATTCATGCGGTGGAAAGGCGCGGAGGGTAGCAGGGCTCGAAGCAGGCTACCCCAGAGGAATCTGCGTGGCGGGTCATCTAAAGTGGAAGGGAAAGGAACACAGATCTTCTGCAGGCTCCACAGACTGGGCAGTGACAACGCCTCCTAAGGGTCTCAAGACTTCCCCTGGAAGGGCTTACGCCGTCCAAGTTATTCCACGCTGCCAACGGTTTCTGACAAAACAGAGGAACTGGAAGATCTCTTTAAACGCGGGTATTACGAGCAAGAAGCTCATCCGACTTTCTCTATGCAAAGCCAAGACATTCTCCTAAGGCCACATCCTCGATTCTGTAAACTAGGGCAACTGAAAACATCCTATTGACTCTCTCCAGCTAACGAACATCACTGTGGCTAAAATCCTAATACCCACACGAACAGACACTTCGGAAAACTGGCTCTAAATGGTTAACACCGGACTTCAGGTACTCCGGTAACCAGTTTATCGCACTTTATCTGTTCCAATAAAGGGTACCACCTATTTACTGTCAGCTCTGGTTCCACGTACTGAACAAACAGAAAAATGGAATCCTTTAAATTCACAAAACAATAAGGGCTAAAAGCTCCCGCCTTCTGGATGGCAGCTTTCTAGTCTCATCCATCACAACAAAGGACGCATCCCGGTGACTACATCAGACCCGGCAAGGGCTGAGAAACAGAGGTAAATGATTCAGTGAAGATTGCAAGGTTTGTGAGGGATTCCTTCCAGCTACGACTCACTCACTCTTCTTTTTACTCCATTATACGCCTCCACCCGAGTTGACTGCTTGCCCTAAAAATAAAACCACCCGTGGCTACCGTCCACTTCCCTGCCAAGTCCCGACTCTCGTCTCCTGCAGAGAAAGCCAAATCTCAGGCTCTTCGCCCCACTCTTCGCCGGAGAACGCGGGCTCGACAGCAGCGGGCTTCTCCCGATGCAGAGTCGCCAGCCCGGTAGGGGACCCTCCTGAGCCCGAGAAGCAGCCCCGCTCTGCCGCAGCCCCCGCAGCCCGCCAGAGCCCCCAGGAAAAACCGGGGCGAGGGGAAGGTGGGCCGGCAAACGGCGGTGGGAGAAGTGGGAGACACTCACCCGCCCAGACAACAACCGACGGGGCGGGGAGGATGGGGGCCCGGACTAAGCCTCGGGCAGAAAGCCCGCCTGCAGCTTCCGGAACGCTGCGGCTGCTCGATAAGCCGCTGCCGCCGCCGCTCCTGGCCGCCGGCTTCCTCCCCTCCTCTGTTTTGATCCGACTGACCACGTCACTCTAAGCCACGAGACCCGGATCTGCCGGCTCCCGCGGGCGGCGGCGCAACAGATTGCAGCGGCTCGAGACCCCGGCAGCCGGCCTGCCGCGCATGCGCGCGCCCCGCGCCTGCCCAGTGGGTCCGGGGAGGCGACCGCGAGCGTCACGCGGTGCGAGGGGCGCGGAGCACGCGGGTTGCAGTTCCGGTTGGGAGGGGTGGGGCGCGGCGTTGTGTGCGGGAGGGCGAGGCCCGGGTTTGTTGAAGTGGCCCGCCTAGGTTCTGTTTCGTGTGTTCTGGACGTCGTCTGCCGTGTCTCCCTCTGCCTGAGCTGATGGCCTTCCTCAGCTGGAGTCTTTAGAATAGCGGGGGTAGCGGTAGGTGGGGGCGCAAGCTGGTGTCTGGTGAGACTTGTAGAGATTGTTTTGGATCACTCAGGCCCAGGTGAAAATTGGAGATCGAGGTTTGGTCTTACACGTAAAAAAGTATGACTGACGTGGCAGCTATTGATCCCCTGTCCCGGAGGCAAACTGCCTTCGGAAAGCTGGCTAAAACTCCGTTCAAGAGGAGTGTTAAAGCGAGTGTAGGACTGATAGAGCGATAGTGGGGAACTGGAAGAGGAAAGCTATTGTTAGGCAGTCAGCTCAAACCTTTGTTGCTTTGACCTTCGGGACTGGAATAAGGATGATACTTACGGTCTGAGAACCTCATTTCTTTCTAAACCAAGGTGATGCTTCCTACTCTCTCATTCTTAGTCTCCCCACTAAACAACGGGCCCGAGAAGTTTCCCACTTTGGAAAGACATCGGGCTACTCTGTTGTTTTCTTAGGTCCATGAATGGACAGACTTTTTTTTTTTTTTTTGGACAGACTAATTAAAGCGATACTAGTGGTTAAATGAAAGTGTGAGTTTCAAAGATTTCACAGAGGTGCCTATTTGCCTATCGTGCAGGAGAGGTGAAAGTTAGCTGTAAGAAACTGCCTTCCTTATCCTGAGTTAACCTTTTCGCCTAACCTGGACTTCTACCTCGGTGTCTGGTTTATCACCTCAACTAGCTGAGTCACTTTCAGCGAATTAGTATAATCTGCGAGAGGTTTTGTTTTTTTTTTTTTTTTAAGTAGTATACTTTATTTAACCTGGTATATCCAAAATATTACGGGGCTTCCCTGGTGGCTCCGTGTAAGAACCTGCGTGCCAATGTAGGAGACTTAAAGAGGCGGGTTGGATCCCTGAGTCCACAAGGTCCCCTGGAGGAGGCATGGCAACCCACTCCAGTATTCTTGCCTGGAGGATCCCACGGACAGAGGAGCCTGGGGGGCTACAGCCAATAGGGTCCCAAAGAGTCCCACACAACTGAAGCAACTTGGCAAGCATGCATGCAAAGTATAGTTAAAACATGGAATCAGTGTAAAAATTGTTAATGAGATGTTCATGTTTACCTCATACTAAGTCTTCAAAATTGGGTGTGAATTTACAGTTAGAGCAAGACTCAAGTGTTTGGTGTGGCTAATGTCACCATATGGGACAGCACAGCTCTAGAGCACGTGCACTAACAGGCATGGGGGAGTGACCTGGGCCTAAGCGGAGGCAAGACCCAAGGGTAGTCGTTTGGGGATGACAGGCTGCTTATTTTACCCAATCTCCTTGTGCCTTGACTTCTTTTAGAGTAACCTATGTAGGAATAATTGCTGTGACTTTAAAATAAAACATTCGTAAAATGCCATGTGGACTTAGAAAATCCTGGTCTAGCCAAAGGTAGGTAAATCGTTAAGGGCAAGAGCTTTTTAATTAAAGTGGGAACACAGGTAAAAATGTCTAGAAAATGAAAGGTTTCTGGTAAACTCACTAAGTATTTCCTAGTTAACATTACAGGTAGGTAGAGTCAATCTTCTTGAACTCTGCATCTTGAACTCTGTTTACTCAAATTCACGGAATTTTAAGTGGTATCTAGTGACCTACTGAAGTTCAGAGGCTGACTCTGTAACAGGGTCTTTAATCTGTGGAACAGAAAGTTTCATATGCTTGAGTGCACCCATGTGCACATATGTGTTTGAAAGTACAGCTGTGTTTGAGAGCACTGTGCTACAAAATTGGAATGGTACAGAACATTGCAAAATTATCAGTATTTGTTTTATAAAGTAAATTACAGGAAAATCAAGATGTTAGGATCTTTCATAGCTAGCTTTCAAGATAATCCACAGTGGTTAGTGATTCTCAACTCTGGAAATAAGACTCCTTCAGCCTTTTGAAAAAGGGCTACTCTGACCTGTAAAATACAGCTGAAGGTGTGTGCCTTCTAAGGCTAGGTCATAAAGGCATTGATTACAGCTTTCCACCTCAGTGTCTTGGATTGCCTGCTCTGGAGGAAGCAAGGTTCCATGCTACTCCACTCTAGCAGACCTATATATGAAGACACCCGGGTGGGGAGGAGCAAAAGCCTCCACCAACAGCCTCATCAGTTTACCATTTGTGTGAGGGACCTGCCTTGACTGGGCTCATCCTGCATCCCCAGTCTAGCATCAGATGACTGCATGCTTGCATAACGTCTGCAATCTCATGAGAGAGAGAAAGGACCAGCCCTGACACAAACAGTGAGACAGGATCATACATGGGTTTTGCCCTGAGTTCAACCTTTGAAAATTTTAAGCAGTGGAAGAAGAGTGAAAAAGTATGTGTGTAATTCTCCATATAAAGGAATTTATAAAGCAACATAGAATTCCCTCTACAGTACCTAGAACATAATGAATACATATTTGTTGAATGGACATATATAATTAAAAGACAAAATAGTCTGGGAAATATTTGGAATAAATGTTGATAAATAAAAGAGTAATGTACTATATGAAGGACTCATACAAATCATTAAGAAAGATATTAATGCCTCTAATATGTGTATAGGTAAAGAGTATGAGTTACACACAAAAAGACACAAATGACTTAATAGTTACTTGAAAATCTTCAATCTCAGTAGTAATAAAAAATGCAAGTTAAGATTTCCTTTTTTAACTACAAACATTTTGGGAGTTTTTTTGGGGGGTGGTTTTGCTTTTCTTTCAGCAGAGAGGGAGATATTTTAAATAATTTTAAATAGGTCTATCTAATATTGGTACTGTTATCACTGCTGATAGTAAGTTGGCAGGTACATTTTGGAAATCACTGGCAATATATATCAAGTTCTGTAGGAGTATCATGTCCATTGACCAATTTTAACTACTGGGAAATTAATGAAATAGTTTTAAAAAGAGTAAGATTATAAAGACATGAATTACATTTGTATTAATATGATGGGCAAAAAATAGGGAGATAACCTATGTGAACAATGGTAATGGAAAGGATAATGTTACATTGTATGTTCAGTTCAGTTCTGTCGGTCAGTCGTGTCCGACTCGGCGACCCCATGAATCGCAGCACGCCAGGCCTCCCTGTCCATCACCAACTCCCGGAGTTTACTCAAACCTATGTCCATCGAGTCGTTGATTCCATCCAGCTATCTCATCCTCTGTTGTCCCCTTCTCTTCCTGCCCCCAATCCCTCCCAGCATCAGGGTCTTTTCCAATGAGTCAACTCTTGGCATGAGGTGGCCGAAGTATTGGAATTTCAGCTTCAGCATCAGTCCTTCCAATGAACACCCAGGACTGATCTCCTTTAGGATGGACTGGTTGGATCTCCTTGCAGTCCAAGGGACTCTCAAGAGTCTTCTCCAACACCACAGTTCAAAAGCATCAATTGCGCATTGTATGTTAGGATCTGAAAAATGTGAGGATGGAAATAATTTTAAATGACTGTAAGGAAGTTATTAACATTTTATGATAGAAAAAAAATCTAGGAATAATCTAAACATATAATGGTAATGGAATGTATGAATATGTAAAATTATGTTTTAGGCATTAACAAACTTGAAGATATTTTCATTTTCTGATCCAGACCTACTTTGATTTTTGCATTAGAAGTAGAAAGTGTTTGTAATTCAAATATATATGCCCCGTGTACTCATGAAGTATTCTGATAGATAGTCTTATAATTATTCACATTGGTTATTCTGGGGTGGGGGGTATGAGAGTCTCCTTTATGATTTTTTACCCTTTGTATGGTTTGAATTTTTCTGTATCAATGCATTATTTTTGCAATTCAAAGCATCATTAGTGATTTTTTTCTTAAAAAGCTGTGGTTATGTTAGTCTGCTCGAGCTCTCATAACAGAATAGGACAGACTGGATGTCTTAAACAACAGAAATTTATTTTCTTGAAGTTCTGGAGGTAGGAAATCTCGAAGATCAAGATCTGGCTTGCAGATGACCACCATCTTGCTTTGCCCTCACATAGCCTTTACTCTGTGGAGAGGCAGTTCTGGTGTGTCTTTCTCTTTTTATAAGGATGTTATTCCTATTGGATTAGGGCTTGTCCTTATGACCTCATTTAACCTCACTTACCCCTGTAAAGATACTGTCTCCACATAGTCACAATGGGGGTTAGGGCTTCAACATATGAAGTTGACTGGACACAAATCAGCTGTTAACTGGTTAAATATATACATAACTTAAAATTTACCATTTTAACTATTTTTAAGGGTACAGTTCTGTGGTATTAAATACATCCATCTTGTTGTACAACTGTTACCAACATTTATCTCATGAATATTTTCTCCTTTACCTATTAAAACTCTGTGCCTGTTATACTCTTAACTCCCCATTGCCCCTTCGTCCCATTCCATGGAAACCACCATTCTACTTACAATCTCTGTAAATTTGACTACTTTTAGTACTTCAAGTAAGTGGACTTGTTTAATACTTATCCTTTTATGACTCAGGTATTTCACTTAGCATAGTGTAAGGTCATCCGTGTTGTGTGTGTATATATACACACACCATATTTGTTTATTCTTTCATCTATTGATGAAAACTTGGCTGGCTTCTATATTTTGGCTACTGTGTATAACCATGTTGTGAACATGGGTGTACAAATAAAGTTCGAGTCCCTCCTTTCAATTCTTTTGGGTATATACCCAGAAGGGAAATTACTGGATCATATGGTTATTCTGTTTAATTTTTTGAGGAACTGTTTCACAGTGGCTGCATCATTTTACATTCCCACCAACAGTGCATGATGTTGTTGTTCAGTCACTAAGTCGTGGCCAACTCTTTGTGATCCATGGACTGCAGCACACCAGGCTTCCCTGTCCTTCACAATCTCCTAGAGCCTGCTCAAACTCATGTCCATTGACTCAGTGATGCCCTCCAGCCATCTCATCCTCTGTTGTCCCCTTCTCCTCCTGCCTTCCATCTTTCCCAGCATCAGGGTCTTTTCCAGTGAGTGCATGAGGATTTCAGTTTCCCCACATCCTCACCAACACTTATAACTTTATTTTATTTTATTTTTTTCAATATTAGCCATCCTAATGGGTG